CCAATAACAGAGAGTTCCAAACCTCTCTGCCAATAACATCTAGTTTTCAGGTTACATATCCCTCCCATTAGGCCCCTCCAATTAGGTACCTCACTCAGACCACTCCCAGACAGTCCTAGCAAAATTATTGCTTGAGAAAGCTATTTTAGTTGCTTTTTGGCCATTTTAATGGAAAACTATTACAGTAAGGTACTTCATTGTTACCCAGAAATGATTTGATTGAACCATTGGACACTACCCACTTATTATTATTATTATTATTATGGATACAGACATCAATTCAATGTCTATTCCACATTGGTGCAACGCAATTTCATTAAATGATGTGGAAACAACGTTGATTCAACCAGTGTGTGCCCAGTGGGCCCGTTTCACACTGTGTATTTCAATACTGTATCACCGACATAGCTCATTCTAATATTTCTACTACTGTACATTGTATTTTAGCTACACTGTTTATACACACCACATATGTATTTATATACTGGATTCTTGACATAGCTCACTGTAATATATCTACTTCTGTACATATCATTCTTAGTATATATTCTATAAATTCCTCTGGTGTGCATATGTACAGTATAGATATAAGCATTTCGCTGCATATGCTGTAACACCTGCTAAACTGTGTATGCGACCAATCAACTTTGATTTCATTTGATATTGAGATCAAAACGGCTGCACTGGGCCTTTAACATTAAAGCAGTGTGCCTCAATGTCTTTCATCATTGTTCCCTCCCAGTAGGCTTATGTTTCCAACTAGTCCCTGAATAGCTAATTGAGAATAATCATCATGGATATTTAGGAATAGGCCTATTCATTTTAAATATCTTATTGGGTGAGAGGATATACATGTAGGCCTAGTGGTATGACATTTGTATGGAATGGGCCTACACACACGCATTGTTGAGAAGAGGGGAAATCATTTGGCCCCCAAACACCAACACCTACAACCAAACACATACCCTAGCCTAAGCAACAAAACGATGAGTGTGGATGTTGTTTTTAACACAATGCTTTTTGGACATTAAAGAGGCTATTTACTCCACTCATCTTTATTGGATATTCTATAAGCTTTTGAAATGGTTTGTGTTTGTGTAATAAAATATAGACCTATGGAAATTAGAATTTCATTATTTGTCAAAAGCCTGATTTCCCCTTTGTAAGGCAAATTGGCCTATGTGTAGGACTATATGGGAGATTGATATAGGCCTATTAGACCTGTGGGTGAACTCAGGTGTTTACTGGGCACTGTGAGCAGACAATTAAACCAGTCGTTTAGGAGGTGTCTACCTTGTCCTTAGAAGACAGCACGTTGACCTTGGTTTTGGCTGACTGGAGATGAACCCCACAGGGAGAGAGAAGATAGAGATATAGAGAAGCTAGAGATATAGAGAAGATATATATATATATATATATATATAGAGAGAGAGAGAGAGAGAGAGATAGAGAGAGAGAGAGAGAGAGAGAGAGAGAGAGAGAGAGAGAGAGAGAGAGAGAGAGAGAGAGAGAGCGAGAGAGAGAGAGCGAGAGAGAGAAGAGAGAGAGAGAGAGAGAGAGAGCATCAGCATCCATGGACCAGTCTGCTGTAATAGAAAGAAGCTGCTATTATCACCATTAACGCCATTCTGTTTGTCCTGAGAAGAGAGAGATTTCGTAGACTACACCTTTCTTTTGGGTCATGTTGAATTGACTATTTACGAATTACAGTCATGTTCTTTTTATGAGCTAGCCTATCCTGACAGTTTATGGAACACTGTTAAATGAGACTGGAATATCTGCATTGCCTGCCACTGTCTGTGGAGCCCTACGATCGAGCGCACCACCCAGTCGAGACAGTAACGCATGATCACAAAGAGATGTCAGGCATTTTTTGAGAAACATTGAATGTTTTCTGTACCATCATCAGCCTTGCAAAATACCAGAAGGTATAATATTTGTATTCTACAATTTCTAATCAAATCACGGTCCGTCCGGAATCGTAGCCTATTTCCATGCTTTCTGTTTATAAGGAGGCAATACTTCTCGACCAAGACCAATGAGATCTGTGCTGTGGCCGCAGCGAAGTAGAGTTGTAAAAATAGCGTAAAGACTTTTGGACAATTGTCCTCTCGAATGCTTTCACGATAAACCTGTGTGATTGATTCTGAATGGTGCGGCAAGAGAAGGCTAATTCTGGTTTTTTTGGCACCAGCGGATGCTGCGCCGAAGAATGGGATACGCCGACCTTACGTCGGGTAGAGATTTACTCGGCAATAGGTCGCTTTGTTTTATATTCATTTGCGCATTTGGACTGGTTACACTTTTACAACAGATTCTCAATGGAAAAAACTACATTAAAAGGTAAGCAATGTGAAATATATATCTTCCACAAATAGCCTATAGGCCCAAATCAAATAATTTGCCATTCATCTGAAGACTCAAATATTATCAATTGCATAATGTTGAAATTGTAAGGGACGGCCTGACATTTAGAAATTGTGTAAACGAAATGGCTCTGTTATTGTTATAATTGTATTAATACTGTCATCATTGTAATTCAGTGTAAATATGGGAGTAGTGGTTGTAGTAATTGCTGCATGGGAGGGGGGGGGGGGGGGTTAAGCTTAAAAAATAGCACATCAGTCTTCCATTTTTCCAGTGGCATATTTAAACTATTCTCATGTGGTGAAGCATCACATTCATGCCACACACAATGCTCCAGCTGTTTATCGTAGTGTACTCCCTTCTTTTTAAAGTGTTTATTTGATTTTCAGTTTTAGCCTTATCTACTGATCATACATAAGGCTTGGATATCTGCTGATATCACAGTTTTAAAAACAACTAAAATCTATTGATGCAGTTTATTGATCCGTATTTTTCCACTTAATGTTGATCATTTCTACATGTTAATGTCACAGGGGTTATTGTCAGATTCTATAGTCATTTAGCTAGTTTACCCTGTGGGCTTCAATGCACACACAGTCATGCTGCTGTTTCAGCATAATGCATTCCTAAGATGTTTTGTAACACCTCTGCAACAGCAATATCTCTACCTAATAGGGACTCTACCTTTTCTAATGCAATCTTTTTTTGTTAATAGCTCCCATAGTGATACATGCTATTATTAATCACTGGAAGGCTTTGACTTCTGCATTATCTTCTGGGATGTTTTTCATTGTGAGACGAGCAGATGCTAAGAACCTGATATATTCTCATCTTTAGATAGGCCTATTTAACACCCCCCCCAAAATAGAATAAAAAGATTGTCACACTAAAATACGCCTCCCTCTTCCCATGCACCCCCAGCAATTTCAGAAAGTGCATTCTAGCTTTGCTTAACAGCAAACATACATGTGCTGCATTCTAACTGCCCCCCCCCCCCCCCCCCCCGCCCAATGCCCCCTCACCTGTGTGTCTCCACCACCGCTTGGGCTACTCTGATGAAATCCTGTGGATTCATGGCATCCTGACCCTATGCTATGGCTGAGATGGCATGAACCCAGCCCCAGCAATACCTCTATCTATCTACCTATCTATCTAGCTATCCTGCCCCTCAGTCCTAGCACTCTGACTGGGAAAGAGGGGAACGGGCTACAGTCACAACGAAGCCACTGAGCCAGCCAGTGGGCAACAACAGCAACCATTTTGCTACACAGTATCTGCACACCTCAGGAGAAAGAGAGCGAGAGAATGAGTGTGTTTGCGAGAGAGAGAGAGATAGAGAGAGAGAGTGAGGGTGGAGAAATGGAGAGAGAACGTTCAAGAGATGGAGAGAGTGAGTGTCTTGAAAATGATGTCACTGTGAGATATTCTCCCCTTCTTCTCCCCCCCATGCTGAAACCATGACAACAAGCTAAAGTTGTGGATGGGACCAACGGTCCAACCCCTCCCGACCTATGCTACCAACATGTAGCCCAGTTAAACACTGCCTAAGAACATGTGTCTCAATCTCATAAAATTCTCTTATGCCCCAAAGGATCTCAGTAAACCATATCTGCAAATGACCACATTGTGTGGGTCTGGAAGAGACTGTACTAAAGAAGACACTTAAACTACAACGCAATAATGCCAGTTGTAGAGAGCACTATCTGAGAATAATCAGCATGAAATAAATGCACTTTAGTCCTCCATTACTCCAAGATTATTTTAATTTGTTTTACCCAGATTATATTAGACCTTCAGGAAAGTTCAGGGTGACTATTCAGAGAGTGCACAACATGTCTGTTAAAAGACATAAGACACATGTGCTTTGGAGTGGTGTAGTGCTTTTAGCATTCTGGCACGTGATAAATCCCCCCTTTTGAATTTCCACAGTGTGTATCATATAGCACAGCCTGGCTGCTGTGACATTAACAAACACCCCTTAAAGATGTATGCCAGGGTAAAGATCGCGAGGCTGTGAAATCACAGGGTAGAGAGGAAGAAGGGCTTATTAAATAATACAGTGACCCACTTTGGAGCAGTACACATGATCTTCTCTCATCTCCACTTGACTCGGAGAGGGCGATACCTAAAAATACCCGCAGCAGGCTGGTTAGACTACAAGTGGAGATCCAGATGCCTAAATCCATGTCCTGTTTTAGCACACTCCATCCTGACTGCAACAGCCAGGGGCAGAGTGTCATTGAGATTTTTAAGTGGTTCTCTGAGAAGCCAAATGGGCCTGGAGTATTGACATGATGCCCAAAGTAGTGTTCGTTTTATCACATAATGTGCTTATGGATAGGATTTACACTGTAGTGATACACTTTGCTGTCCACAATGATTTAATGGAACAAAATCACAGGATTATTTGCACAATGGCATGAATGCTCAAATATATTTATTTTGATTCATATGTTTTTTTTTTCTTTCTTAGTGAGTTAGGCTTCAAATATAATGAATGAAATCAAACATGTCCCTTTTACACAAAATCCGTCTTCGAATTAAATCATTTTAATTTCTTACAGGTTTGGATATTTGGTTGGGATATTTGGATTTGCCTCATGCAATTTTGACAAAATCTGTTCAATTCACTCATGTTACTCAGGGAGGAGATGGAATCTGTCCCATCCAGTAGGGGTCAGCGTCGTGGCCTGGGAGGGTACAGGTGCTATGCACCTCTCAAAGGTGGCCTATATGCCGCTGTTGTCTGTAAACCGTTAAGTATCCTCTCAGTTTGTCTGTTCTCAATGTAACCCCTTAACCATAATCATTTGGTTCTGATTTATAGAATGCGTTGTGGTTTTTTAGATTGTGCATGAGCGTAATGTGCAAAAATACCCTATAGGCTAATCTACAGAACTAAGATGTGCTGCATATTGAGACAACAACTGAGATCCGTCAACTAACCTAGATTTGACCTGTTTGACCACAATGAATGGATTAAGGTATATTAAAGCCAAAATGCTGATCCCTCTGTATGGTGTGGTGTGTCTCTGTTTGTGCATTGTGTATAAGAGTGTGTGTGTATGTGTGTGTGTGTGTGTGTGTGTGTGTGTTTGACTGACTGTTAGTTCTCAGGTAATGAAAGCACAATAAATCCCAAATAAACTGACTCATTTTCTTACTAGTGTGAAACAGTTTAGCCGACTCAAAGGAGACGAGACAGGAAATTGGACCGGTCCTGTAAATGTCTTGGATGATGGATCTCTGAAGCCTGCCAGGAATGTGAAGAAAAGGTACATTTCCAACGTGATTGACTGACTGTACAACACCCCTGTGAGACAGAAAGAGATAGAGAGAGAACATGAGATTTCCTGCTGATAACCCAGCCCCCTGCATGTGTGGCCTGGGCCTTAGAAGCCTCCACTCGCAATGCATAACCAGTATAACCAACAAACTGCTGTACTAACTAACTAGTAAAGAGACGAAGTCAGCAACACACACATAACTATTTTGCTTCTGCTTGTTTTGCATTTCTGAGGAATCCTAGTTGAGATGTTTGCAGGGGTGATGATGACACAGGACCCACTCACACTGACATTTAACTCTGACTTACCTGCCTGCATGTTGACAGATGTTTCCGTCAGAATTTTCAGCCCGATTCACAGAGCTCCGTAATAGTCACACCCTGCCTAGCCGATATTAAGAAGAAAAAAAAACGCTCTCAAAGGTAGGCCAGTCTGAAGGCATTTAAGTACTTTTACAGAAACCCAAGAATGCCTCTTTATTTTTCATTGGTCTGAAAGGATTCAACTCTCATATATTTTCAGTGGTGGTTGCACTGCAGATTTGCTCTTGCATGTTGTCTCATCCCTTCCACCCCCATGACCCTCGAACCCTGACCCCCATCCCCACTGAGAAGCTGGTTGGACCGCGGTTCTCCTGTTGATGTACTGGCTTCTCCTCGTACCTCTGTGTCTCATCCAGCACCCATCTCTCAAGCGCCTTTCGCCCTCAACCTGTGTGTTCATGCATTCTGCACAGCTCTGTGTGTATGTCATATGCATAGTGGACACGTCTCTCTGTTCCCCTATCTCCTCTTCTCACATCTGCATTGTATCTCTCTGCAACCTATCTGGATTACCTTTCCTTTTGTTTTCCTCTCAAGAGAAGACAAAAATATGAAACATTTCCCAGTAGGTCTCTGGCTTCAGTGTGCTGAGGACCTAAAGTCAGTAGGCGTGATAACATGCTGGTTATTAATAGGCACTCTTCCATCATGGATGGCAGAAAGCCAGTGTGGCATGGGCGATCTAAGATGACATTCAGAGTCATCCTCTTTCTTCTCTTCTAGGCTACAGTGCTTATTAGGTGTTCTTCGTTAGAGCTAAACCAAAAGAAACTAAGAAGCTACAGATCTCAGTCTTAATAGGAATTAGGATAAGTATGGTTTTCAATGATAAAGGATAAGAGACATTATGCTCTAGACCTCTTCAGTATCTACTTGATAGCAAGCCAATCCAAAATACACTGCATCATCAGGGGGATGTAGACAACCAGTTTCATTGTTTCTTACACATTTTGATTTTATCCCAGCATCTTGTTCAAATGCATTTTTCTGTCATGTCGCCCATGTTGCCTTTTTGTGTTTTACCTCACCTCATTTTACTTGAACAGCCATGCGTACAACATTAATCCCCCTTTTCACCAAAATTTTCTACCTCATCCTATCTCACTGAGATAGCATTTACTCTACAAATTCACTCACTGCGTTGCATATTGGGAAGGCCGCCATCTTGGATTCAACTGAGCAACCCCTCACCCAGCAGACAACATTTTACACGTGACATCATAATAACTTCATTTTCTGGTTGTAAACTGGCATTCTGGTATAGTAGAGGGGACTTCATATAACCAGATTACAACCAGATAAAGACGACATCAACACGTGATTGGATATACATTTGTTATCTGGTTATATAGCCAGATTACAACCAGATTAAGACATATTTTTATGGTTGCTAGAAAGATGTTTAGCCATTGGAACCAGTTTTGCACGCTGGGCAGCCACTCTTTGTCCCTCCAGTAGACAGTAGGACTCAACATCACCTATTTGGTATCTACTTTTAAATACGCTCCAAATAGAAAGCACCTTCTCAATAAGTTTCAGGTATTGGGAGCTTTTAGCTCTCCTCCTTTCCTGTTGCCTCTGAGGCTAAGCCGTCGGCTGTGGTCCTCAGGCAAGAATCCTTCTGCTCAGGTGCCAGAGAGGGCAGCCTTTTCCAAAGCTGGTACATGGATCAATAGCATTATCCATTACAAGCCTATTTAAATACACCTAGTGGGAGATTTGACTCCTCCGTGTGGCTCTCTGCCTGGCTTGAGAGGGAGGAAAATATTTGGGTTAGATTCTGGGGCTGATGATGCTCTCAAAAAAGAATTTCTGTCATGCTAAAATGTTCACCATGTTTTCACTTTCCTTAAGTTTCCTTCTCTTCAGATGTCATTGTGTTTGTCTCAAATATCACACAATCACTACCACCATATCAATCTAATGTTGTTTTTGTGTTATGTCACCATTTTCCTGTATAATGTTTCTTTATTGGTTTCTTTATTTATTTCCTTGTCTGAAACCTTCCAAGACTCTCAAGCATGTAAAGTTTGTATCTGTCCAATCAGGATTTTTTTAAATTAAAATTGAATCATTCAATGAGCTGTAAAATCTTATCGAATGGTTTGAATCTGAGTGAGAATGATGACTGTGTACAGTATATAAATTATGATTATGTCTATGCATGTACATGTATGTGTGTATGTATGTGTGTGCATGTCATACGAGATAGGTAATAAATACAAATGTAGGACCAATAGATTTTTATGTGATCTTCCTCAGTTTTATTTCTACATGCAAAGAGATCTGCAGACTTTTATGGTTATTCCAAACTGATGAACTCAGGCTACCCAGCAAGCAAAATTGGGAACATTAAGTCTGAATGAAGTTATATTCTGGTTGTAAACTGGTTGAGAAGACGTCTTATAACAGGATTGCAACCAACTGGTCTTTATGACAACTAGGTAAAGACATGTTTTTTGTGACAAGACCAAAACGTCATGGGAAAGATGTCATATTTTGGTTATCTGGTCAAATAATCAGATTATTATAATACAACCAGATAAAGAGGCTTTCTTGGTTGCTAAAAAGACATGGACAAAAACTTCCTTATACAACCAGTATACAACATGAGGTAACACTTTACCGTAGGTGTCCTTATGCATGCATTCATAAAGCCTTTATAACAGCTATATAACACATTATAACATTTGTCATAAGCTGTCATAAATAGTTTTAAATATTTATGTGTCACGGCATGAGATATTATAAAACCAGTTATAATGTGTGTTAAAAATGACTTTTCATCCTGTTGTCATATGCTCTAATGTCAACTGTTAATAACAACTGATATTACACAGTCTGCATGAAAACTTATGTCATATGTTGTTACATGCTACATACGAGTCTACATACCAGATGTTATAACAGTATGTTATGTAATTTACCAACCTCCTGTGTAACATTATTATATTGAATGGAATGATGGGTGTCATAACCATGTCATATGCCCTTATAGAGTGTGCACAGACACCTTAAGTAAAGTTACATTAATTTGAGGTGCTATAAAACAGTTATGAATGTGCTGCTTAGACCACAGGATGAGTTGAGAGTTTCATACAATGTTACCATTTAAATGATCTCCAAGAAACATGGGCAAATGTTTAAGAAAGGACACATTATAATACCAACAACTTGCCAAAAAAACAAAAATATTGAAACGAAATGGAAGCATATATAATTTTAAAACAAAATCAACGTTGCTGGGGCACAACAGGATTTGTGACAGCTGTGAAAAAAGTAAGATGTGTAGGCTACAGTAACAATGACACCTATGTTATGAAAAAAATTATAATTCTAGCTAGTTTGTTGCAATTGCAACATTTTGTTGGTCCACCAATGGCTAGCTATTCTGCTAGCAATCTGCTAGCGCTAGCTAGCTAACTCCACTAGCTACAGGTAGAATTAAAAAACGTACTCCGTAGCACATTGCACATTAACATCTTCTTTCACTTAGAGTGACTTCAGAAAGTATTCACACCCCTTTATTTTTTCCACATTTTGTTATGTTACAGCCTGAATTTAAAATTGATTAAATGGAGATTTTTTGGTCACTGGCCTACACACAATACCCCATAATGTCAAAGTGGAATTATGTTTCTTGACATTTTTACAAATGAATTAAAAATGAAAAGCTGAAATGTCTTGAGTCAATAACTATTCAACACCTTTGTTATGGCAAGCCTAAATACGTTCAGGAGTAAAGATTATCTTAACAAGTTATATAATGTTACATGGACTCACTCTGTGTGCAATAATAGTGTTTAACATGATTTTTGAATGACTACCTCATCTCTGTACCCCACACATACAATTATCTGTAAGGTCCCTCAGTCAAGCAGCAAATTTCAAACACAGATTCAACCACAAAGACCAGGGAGGTTTTCCAATGCTTCGCAAAGAAGGACACCTATTGGTAGATGAAAAAAAAGCAGACAGTGAATATCCATTTGGTGAAGTTATTAATTACACTTTGGATGGTGTAACAATACACCCAGTCACTACAAAGATACAGAGAGGAAGGACACCGTTCAGGGATTTCACCATGAGGCCAATGGTGACTTTAAAACAGTTACAGAGTTTAATGTCTATGATAGGAGAAAACTGAGGATGGATCAATAACATTGTAGTTACTCCACAATACTAACCTACTGACTGAGTGAAAAGAAAGAACCCTGTACAGAATACCAAAACATGCATCCTGTTTGCAACAAGGCATTAACGTAATATTGTAGTGAGCAGTAATATTTTATATGTGTATGATATACAGTATATTATATATACTTCACATGCTACTCGTAATAAGACAGTTAAATAAGACACTCGCAATTAGCCTATTAAAATGTATAAAGATGTATAAAGATAATTAAAATATACAAGCAAGCATTAGGCAATGAGTTGACGTTGACTAGCAAGAATTGGTCTGACAATTGTCCATATCAAAGGCAGATATTTAATTAACATTGTACAATGAATGGATTCACATACAATGCATAAAGCTTAAGTTACAAAGCATTACTAAGCATACTTCTAGGCATATAGATCCTAAGCTTAACTTGGAAGACAATGCATCAACAAAGAGATGCTTACTAGGCCAGAGGCCTAGAAGTCTAGAAAATGAGAATTGATAATACAACCTTCCTCCATGGACTGGATACAGGATAAGAGAGAGAACAAAGGCATTTATTTATGTTTATAACATCTAAAGGTGTAACCTTTCAACCCAAAACCAACCACCATTGACCAATCAAACGATACCAAGTTTACAGTAACCTAAACGCTCCCAGGCCCAATCTCCACAGGTATTCAGACCCTTTACTCAGTACTTTGGCAGCGTTTACAGTATTGAGTCTTCTTGGGCATGACGCTACAAGCTTGGCGCACCTGTATTTGGGGAGTTTCTCCCATTCTTCTCTGCAGATCCTCTCAAGCTCTGTCAGGTTGGATGGGGAGCATTGTTGCACAGCTATTTTCAGGTCTCTCCAGAGATGTTCGATTGGGTTCAAGTCCAGGCTCTGGCTGGGCCACTCAAGGACATTCAGAGACTTGTCCCGAAGC